AGCCCTGCCACTCTTCTGCCACCTCTTCGTGGGGCTCCCAGGAGAGGTGCTGGCCCAATTTCCACCAACCCCAGGGCAGCACGATTATTATAATTTTTGTTGTTTGCACCGAGCGTCTTTCCCTGCCTCCAGGTCCAGACCCTGCACCTCCTGCTCTGCCGCTCCTTCCAGCTCTGCTACCTCCTGGCGCACCCCGAGGAGCAGGCGGGCGAGGCTGCCACCTCTTCGTGGGGCTCCCAGGAGAGGTGCTGGCCCAATTTCCACCAACCCCAGGGCAGCACGATTATTATAATTTTTGTTGTTTGCACCGAGCGTCTTTCCCTGCCTCCAGGTCCAGACCCTGCACCTCCTGCTCTGCCGCTCCTTCCAGCTCTGCTACCTCCTGGCGCACCCCGAGGAGCAGGCGGGCGAGGGGGATCTGCCGGGGCCTGGGGTGCTGTGGGAGCCCCTCAACCCTGACGAGGTGTCACGCAATGTCAACGCCCTGGTGTCCTTCCGCCGCCTGCCCGTGCCCGCCGGCCTCGGCCCCCTGGGTGCAGGGGTAGGTGCCCATGCCTGGGTGCTGAGCACTGGTGCTGCTCCAAGGCCTTTGCCTGATGCTGGTGTGCACAGTGCTGTTGCACGAGGGATCTCTGCACGGTGTTTCGCTCAGCACGTTTTCACACGGTGTCTTGCGCGGCTTTTCTCGCACAGCCTGTGTTTCGCAGCAGTGTGTGCATGGCACTTCTTTGCACTGCTGTATTTGCACGGTGATATTTGCGGGGTGATTTTTGCACAACAGTTTTTGCACATTTCCTCTGACAGTTCTTGCACGACCTTTTCTTGCCCACTGTTTTGCCCAGTGTGTTATCACAGCACATTTTCACGCTGGGCCGTGTGTGGCGTTTTCTTGCATCCTCTTATCACAGCCCTTTCTTGCCTGGCATGTCAAAGGGCACATCTTTGCCCAGAGCATTTTGCAGGGCCCATCCTGCACTGCCCATTCTTGCACACTGCTTGGCACAGCTTGTTTTGAATGGACTTTCCTTGATGGCCTTTTCCTGCCTGGCATTTGGCATTGGGCAGATTTGCAGGGCAGATTTTTGGGCAGCAATTTTGCAGGGGGTTCTGCAGGACCTTTTCCCTGGCTGGTCTGGCACAGCACCTTTTTTTCACAGCATTTTTTTTGTATAACTTCTTTACATGACATTACTTCACTCGACTTCTTTTACATGGTATTTTTTCTGCATGCAGGTTTCAATGGCTGTTTTGACATGGCATTTCTTGCAGAGCATTTTTGCACAGTGGGTTTCTTTCATGTCTCTTTGCAGGTGTATTTTTTTACACAGCATCCTTTGCACAGTGTTTTGCACAGCATCTTTTGCATGGTAATTTTGCATGGCAATTCTTGGATGCCATTTTTTTGGTGGTGTTTTGCATGGCATTTCTTTTGTACATAGTTTTTTCCACATCATTTTTTGTGCTGCATTTATGCCTGTGGCATTTTTGCAAGGTGATTTTTGCATGGTGGGGTTTTCTTTTTTGTGTGTGACATTTCACATGGCATTTTTTTGAATAGCATTTTTTTTGCCCCACAGTTTTTTCCATGGTGTTTCGCACAGCACTTTCGGTGTCGCATTTTTTGCACAGCCTTTTTCTGCATGGTGTCTCGTAGGACATTCCCCACAGCCAGAGCCCCCAAACCCTTCTCACAGCCCCTCCACCCCCCAGGACCGGCGGTCGGAGGTGGAGGGCAGAGCTTGGCGCCCAGGCAACCTCTACTGCTCCCCAGTCCTGGTGCGCAAGAAAGCCATCCGCAGCGGGCTTACCGCGACTGCGCGCCCGAGGGACAGCCCCACCAGCTGCCCCGCGACACCGGTGAGTGCCAGAGGGAAACTGAGGCGAGGGGGCTTTGGGGGAGAAGAGGGGATTAACGGGCTCCTGCAGCGGCAGTGGGATGGGAGAGCAAAGGCATGCGGAGCTTGGCCTTCCTCCCTGAAAACGAGAGCGTCCTCGCCGAGAGCGTGTGGTCTTTCGCCGGCGTCGCCAGGTGA